CAATATCCATGGAAGCCGAATATTAACATTTTAAAAGTTAATGGTCTTTTACCTTCCCGAGTATCACAATTTATGCTCGAAGCACTTTAAGTATTGTCTACATAGAGAAGTGGGAAAAGAGGGTAGAGAATAAAAATAAAGAGATTGGCAGGGGTTAAGATGTTAGAGCAAAGCTTTGAGAAACATATAGATGAGACTTTTGGATTGACTTGTTGCAGTTCCAGAAACTTTACAGACATTGGATTTCAGCTAAATCAATCGAATTAGGACAATTTCTTTTCTTAAAATCAAAAGATGTGCTACATGGGATTCTGAATACGAACCGGGATACATTTCTGTCGATTTTTTGCTAACAAGCACACCTCTGCATTTCAAAATTGATTATTTTTTTTTCCTGACTTGAACTCTTGGCTTGTAAAACTTAAACTGAATAAAGAGAGTTGATTAAAGAAACCATAGATAGATGAAATCCATTTAAAAATCGAAGTACTCATAAAGAGAAATTTCATGAGAATAAAAGAAAGTGCCAACCGACAGCAAAAGAAATAAAAATATTTACAGTAGTTGGCAAAAGAAATAGAGGAGATTTACAACAATTGGCAAAGGAAAAAGAGAGTAATTGCACAAAATCAAAATAACATTTGAGCAAAACAAAGAAACTTAAGTAGGGATTGATTTGCGCTGATTTAGGTGAGATTCCAAGAGGATCTGATCACTTGCTTGAATTTTCATTTAAAAACAGATAAATGCGTCATTAAATTTAAAATTAATCATTTTTTTCTTGATTCTTCATGATAATTTTCAGTCAATACTCCTAGTAGTAATTGATGAAGAATAGTCCGACATAAAACAGGATAAACCACTTCCAAATATTTTATCCTTACTTATTCTTTATGAACTCGCTTTTATCATTCAAGCACATTGCCAGTCCTTAATGGTGGGCTCTTGATAAGTCATGACAAAAATTCATTAAAAAACTCTTGATATGACCGGAAAATTTTAAAACTCAAGGCCCAATAAACCAAAATCATTGGAAATCTCACTGATACCCAAGATTATAAAAGCTATGATAAATATACAACTTAAAAAACGAATATAGCTTTATACAGAGCGGTCCTCGGAAAACTTAAATATTAATTTTTTTTAAAAAAAAAAGGGAGGAAAAAAAGGATTAAAAATACATCAAAATACATGGAAGGTAGACACGAAATTACATTAACGTTATGAGAATAGATTACATTCTATGAATCAACATCTCCCTCAATGATAATGGTACACTTGCTTCTTATGAGGGATAGGGCAAATGATTTGTTCAGCAAAAAGCGAAAAGTTCAAAGTGGAGATTTTTCTTGATCAAATGAGCAAAAATAATAAAGTTGCATAGACCTGCTTGATCCAAAAACTGCAATTTAATCTTAAAATTTTGAAGTTCAAATCATGATAGAGGAATATATTTTTTCTGGCAAGTCAGAGAAGTTGGACCCTTGCCATTTTTTGACACATTGTGCACAAGCTGCTACTTAAATGAGACATTAGTTAAAAAAATTGATCTGAAACTAATCTAGAGAGGGTAAAAATAAAATTAAAACAAAATTAAAACAAAAACTTGATAAGAATGCGGGAAAAAATATATCAATTAACTGATAAAACTTGGGGATAATATAGCTACTTGAGTTGGGAGTAAAATAAAAAAAGTAAAAGTTACTTGGGCGCCGCATGAGTTCAGGTACAAGTAAAGTACATTCATTGGGAAAAATCTCTAGATAAGACTATTCAGTTATGGATCATTTGTCATTTGGATTTAGAATATTTCAGATCCTTGATCAAACCAAAAATTCTTCAGCATTAAATAAGTCTTCACAATGCCTCACGATCTCTGCTAAACTTTAGAAAAACGGCCATGTATCTATACTGAAGTACAAACTTTACAAGAAATATTCCTGGGACAATAAAAGCACCTATTAGAAAAATCTCTTCCTATTAAGTCTCTATCAATCTTTTCTGCGCTTAAGCACTTTCCTACAGGTTAAAAAAAAAAATAATGGTTATTTACATTCAAGACCGCAAATGATGATCAATGCCAAGTTTACCATTTTGAAATTAACGTAACTTTATACTCTTCCTTTTCCAAATATATTTATTAAACAGCTGCAAATAATAGTACGGTTCAGTTGATATTTGACTCAGACTTTTGGCTAAAGGTAATACTGAGACTCATTTTAATTAAGTACAACTCACACAAAATCATCACTAAATAAACGATTATTACAAATTGAACTAAGATAGAGACGAAAGCTATAAAAATTAAAAGGACAAACTTACAAATAAAAAAACTTCACTTGAAAGTTGTACCAAAATTTTGAAAGAAATTTCATATTTAACCTACTCCTGATGTTCTTTTAAAAGCACGTAACAGAAGTAAAATATCAATGAGTGAAACCACGTATCTTCCTTTGCGACATTGGAGACTTCCTGTCATTCTTCATTTTATCTCTGAGTTAGCGTTATTCCTTGAAAGCTTCCTTGATTATTCTTCTCTGTTAGCAAAATATTCTGTATAAATTTCAAGCGGTGAAATTGGCTTGTGTCTCTTGGAAATAATAAAGTAGGAGCATAAATTTTGAAATACCGAAATGTAGATACGCGGTTTGACACTTTAGCCTTCAATGTGAAGGTTAAAAAATTTAAGGAGCCAGACTTGACACGTGTCTGGATGGTTGGTAAAAAGATAATCATACATTCAGCTCAATAATACTTTTTGTTTCAACTAAAGATATGCTTTTATTTTTTAATTTTCCTCTCTATCCTAAACTTCATCGACTTTGTAATATAGTCAAAATTCTGAGTTATTAAACTATAAATTTATTGCACTTGTCATACATGAAAAACAGCTACTAAGCACTTAGTGCAGATTAAGAAACAGGGGAAAAATAACTAAGCTATTGAGAATGATGATAATACTTTAAAAAAAAAAAAAAAATGTATTTGTAAATACAGAGGGAGAGAGGTTTTTTCGCCCTTCCAAACCCATCACTAGACGTTCTTGCTACAGTTTAAAGAGATAAACTGAGGTATCAGGATACTTGCTTGCTCTTGATGAAATATATTACATGGATTGTCAGTTAATAATTCAAACTACAAAGGAGCAAAGATCACCGACCAGGAAGATCGGATGATAAAATATTAGCCCTGATCTTTTGGTAAGAGCGCCATGTCTATAGAGAAATGAATGGTTTTAAGAACATCCGTTTCTTTTGCATCAGGAGGGCAGCAAAATACACAAATAAACAAAGTATTCTAATATTTTTCACCATCTTAAATAATGTTATAAGTCTTTGAAGGAGGCAAGGAACCGTTCATCAAATATCGACGGTGAAACTACCAGACCACATATCTCTGTTTGCAACGCTGTAGACTTCCTGTCATATTTCATTTTTAAACAAAAAAACTGCTCGACGTCAATTCTTGAAAACTATTGTGTTTTTTTTTCTCTGTGCAAAGAAAACTCTTTGAAAATTTCAATAAATTATATTGATTTGTTCTCCATCAAAAAAATAAAATGAGAGGGAAGATTTTTAAACACCAAAAAAGAGACACGAGGTCTGGTAGTTTCACAATCGATAAGTAGCGCTCTAAGTAAAAGAGGGGGTCTTCAGCCACCTACAAAAATTGAAAGCCATGAGACCTGATCTTTCAGAATATCTTCACTTTGAAAAAAAATTTAAGTCTGCAAAAGAAAATTTATTAGAGAGGGGCCCCTGCAGTTTACTCAGAAATGCGTATATTTTTTGAGAATAAAGATGCTATTTCACACGATAAAACTCTTCCTAAAAGGGTTGTTGGAACAACAGACACTACTAGTTGTTGCTCAGGACACCAAGTTTCTTCCGAAGTTCTTACATTAAATGAAAATGATTCAAAGAGTTCTACACATAAATTTCAAAAAGGTACCGGATGAGAAGTTCCCTTCTTAGCACGCTTGAGCGATGAAGGAGTAGAGAATAACTTAATGTTTAACAGTGGGACAGATGGGAGTGTAGGTACTTGAACAAAAAATATGAATCTGAAATTTACTGAAATGCTGGTGCTCAGCAAACTTAAGCATATAAAAAGGCATTCATACTCCAAAAATAAAATAAATATGGAAGAATAATCAAAAAATTACAAAATTGAAAAGATAAGAAGACACAATTTAAAAAGAAGGTAGAATAAAAATAGTAAAGCTTGAGGGTGGCAAGCTAAGATGATGGGTAGCAAGGAAACTCAATTAAACGGCAAAGAAAATAAGAAAGCACAGCATGACATGTTACAGACTGCCAGCATCTAAGACAGATGGTGAAATATTTCGCTTATGGTGCATGATACCAACACCATTTTAATAAACCCAGGATGATGCATGTTTTGCTGCCCTGTGAGTTACTTTAAAGAGAGAATAATTATGATGAGCATATCAAATACTTTCCATCCTATCTGATACCATAACTGCAGAAAAGAAAAGAAACCTAGTAAGGTTATCAACGTGTAAAAGTAACGCCTTTTTCATACCTCTAAATATTATACTTTTGATAGATAGTCAAAGAGCTGAAAAAGTATCAAAGGTAACACAAACTTGAACTTCGGCAACACGATTTAAAAATAAAATATGAAAAAATCATCAAAATTTTGGTAATATTTACAGGTCACAATTTACAATATAACAGCCAAATCACTAATTATATGCAACACACTATAGCACAAAAAAATATTTTAAAAATTGAGAAAAGTTAGGAGTTACAAAATTTGAAAAATGAATCACATTGTTTCAGGAAAGGAAGTTGCATGAGCAGACCATTTTTCACGCTAGCGTGTGCCTGACACGTTTTTAGATGGCCGCAAGTCACAGCTAAACAGAGTGCTGTGCGCTTGGATGCAACTTGAAGATGATCTCGAATTTTTTAGAAGATCATAAGTTCTCAATTGATTTAAAAAGACTAAACTTAAAGCTAAAATTAGGTACCAACCTAAGCAAGTTGCTGTCGTTACTACGCATCCAGATTTGGGCGCACTGGCAGAACTTTGGCTGCTGGGTATGGCTTGATTATTGTTCCGTTGAGCGAGTTCTCGAAATCGGTTGCCTGGTTTGAAACCAATGTTATTTGGCTCTGGACTGTCAGGATCACTCCCATCTGCTACATCAGGGAGTATTATTGGCTTCAGGGGGTCACTTAAGGAAACCTCCGTGCCACCTGGGGATGTCTCGGTTCCATAAAATATCATGTTCCACTCCAATATTTCACTTCCTGTAAAACACATAAAAATGACTCTGTTTTATAACTCTAGGCATTTGTTTAAGCATTGATGTGAGCTATCTTTGCATTTACATATTTATCTTCCATTCAAAAATATTGAGAGGAGATTATGTGTGTTATTCGAAATGTTATGTTTTGGGGTGAGAAGTTATATCCGTTCTTAAAACAGATCCTTCTCTCGGACGAGCCCTTACGGTTTACATTATGATTCAGGGAGACTAAAGGAGGCCTTTGGCATAGCATCACAGAAAGGACAATTTCAACGAATCTTGAGTAGAGTTCAAGCGTGTAACTTAGAAAATAGACCCTTGTGAGGGATTAACATGATTTGTCAGTGCAAAAAATAAAAAATACGGAGAAGAAAATTCTATGCTTTGGATTTTCACATTTTCAAAACCGGCCTGTTTTTTCTTACATACTCTCAATTTTTTACAGAGGCAAATCATTGTAATCCTTTGTGAGGGCATATTTCCAAAGTTAGGTCGTTGAATTTTACTTGAGATTCATTAAAATCTCCTTTCTATGATGCAACGTCAAGGATCATCTTGATCACGCAATGTAAACCATGAGGGGCTCCTAAAGAGAAGAACTATTAAACGAACGACTCGGTAAACAGCCCTGATGGTTGAAATTTGGGAAATGGATTCTTTTGTCCAAGACGGAGCGGAGGTAGGACGAATATTTTCAAGCCACACGTAATGAGAGAATGCTTCCTGTGACTTATTCCATCTTTAATTTTCAACATTAGGAGGAGAAATAGGCAAACTAAATAGTTTCAGAAATTTGATACCTACATAAGCTCTAGTGTGTAATAAAATTTTGACAAAATTATGTTGGCGTGATTTTTGTAAAGCTATTTATCCACTTAAAAAAATATTACTTTAAATGGGGGTGAGGGATCTGTTGAAATGATCCCCTTCTTCCACACATAATGATAGAAGAATACTGTCACAGCAACTCTAAAAGCTTTTCCAACAATTTTAGAAAATCTAACACTTTAAAAAAATAATCAGTTCGCTTCACACACAAATTCATAGATTTTAAACAGATCGCAAAACAGATGGCGGATTTTATGTTCTCTAGGTAAGTCAAATGCTTGATCAATCAGAAGGCTAGAAAGTATTATACGAAGAAATTTAAATCCTGGCTTTTGATTGGTTTTAGAGGAGTCAGATAACTTTAAAGTCATACAACCAAATAAACATTATGCATAGATAGAGCTCTTGATTGATAAAAAAAATAATAGCTTCTTATTTATTGAAAGCCTGACTAATCAAAGGAGCTATAAAATTGCATGCGGTGCCTGAAAATGTTGGGCCTTTGTTCAGCCATTGTTATGTTGCTTCTTTATCTACCAGAGGTCACAATTTTGACAAAATTTGGGTACCAACTTCTCAAATCAAAACAAAAAACGAGGTCTTTGCTTTTAAAGAAAAAAGAACACCAAAACAATAGACAGAATCTAGTAGAAATAAAAAATAAACGATAAATTAAATATTGGCTCATAAAAAGAAATAAAATATTTCAAGGCACTATTAAACAAATCAAAAGTAAATGATTGACTCAGAGAGTGGTGCATATAGAGAAAAAATAGTATTTACACAAATTTTAGCATGCTAAAAAAAAACTTTGTGATCAATGCTGATCAAACACAGACCAAAGCAATATACAAATGAAAAAAAAAGCTAAATTATCAAAACGAAAACAAAACGGTAAAAAGCAAAAAGAGAAATCTCCATCTTGCCTGAGGATTTCCTCCAAGCCGGATTGTCATGGTCTGCGTGTAGATTTTCAAGTCCTTTTTTAGAGGGACGAGGATACCTAGTGTAAGGAATTAGAGCCTGGACTTTATGGTACTGCTGAAAAATAGCAGGAAGTTGTGGTTGCTGAAGGGAGGAAACAGATGGCTGTTGAGGCGGAGCCAAAAGATAAGGAAAGTCGAATAAAGACTGCGTAGTGGCCTCATGGGAAAATTTAGGAACGGAGGAAAACGGTGATGTGACTTTGGATGCAACCAATGAGGGGGAAGTGGTGTTTGATTTAGAGACAGATTTTGTCGAGGAGAACTTTCCAGTTTTTTTAGCATTAAATAATTTGGGATTAGGCTTCAAACTTACAGTCTGTTTTCCTTTGTGATTGCGGGACTTGTTTTTGCGAGGGAGGAGAGGGATATTAAGGGAGTGAGGAGGTTGTAAAAGATGGTTAAGTTTGGATGATAGCGGGTACTCTTCTGTGCCATACAATAATAGAGACCATTCATGGAGAGTTGCCCGACCTGAGGAGGTAAATGTTAGTTTTAGTGGTTAGTCAATTCAACATCACCAGAAACACCGAAGCAATCCATCGTCAAAGAAAAACAAAATACATAACAGCTTTGAAGATTTTAAAAGTCAGCATTCGACTTCTGTCATACCAGTATACAACTTTTTTTTACAATCTTTAGTAATGCCACGTTTTTCGTGAATCATAAGGATTGTTCAGTTCACACTCAAGGTTATGTTGTTTAACGTACATACTGAGATCATATAATCTTTCGAATAAGAAAAAGGCTTGAATGAAACCTATGGCAGCATTAATGAGGGAAAGCAATTCCCATTCATAAGAGATATGGATTCTGTAATCTATGATGAACGAATCAAGTAGAGAGGAAAATCGGATGGATAAATATTTTGAACTGTCCTTTTGGCCGTTTTGGAATTATCAAAAGTAAATTTTTTGGAATTACTGCTGAAGACTGTATTATTGAGGTTTTCCTGTTTAATAACCATCCGAATACCTCAATTTTATGTAGATGAAACATGGATACAGTTTTGTTCTACATCATATTAAATTCGATGAATTTCAGAAAAATCAACGTCCTTTGAAATTATGGGATCGATTTTTCTTCAATTTCTTTGTTCTTTGATGATGGATTTACAGGATTAATAATGCATGTATGGGTAAATATGAGGCATTGCACAAAGGCGGATGAAAATACACATAGTTGACTTAAAGCAAAGGTATTGGTTACTTTGCCCTTTTATACTTCAAAATTTAGAATGTTACTAAAATACTTAAATAGGTAACACAGGCGGTCCTGGACCGATGCTCCCAATAGTTGAGCTAAAATCGTGGATATGGACTAAGGATGTCATTGAGAAATAAAAATTTGACGAATGGATACCAATACGTAATTCTCTCTAGGATTTTACCAAGAGGATTTGTAGATGCTTGAAAAACACAATTTTATTAGACAGTCAAGCAGTATGCCATTACCATGATGATAATAGAGAGAAAAGGAAAATAAATCATTCTAATTAACGGTCAAAATTTGAAATAGTGAATACACATAAGGTTCCGTAGGTCTAATTGCATTTTATTTTTATTCTTCTAATTGTATTGCCAATTTTACAAGTGGTAATGGGTTAGTTGCACCAGTCATAAAATCGTGTTTTGATGGTTTAAGCTGATAGAATAATCCAAACAAGATTCTGGGACTGGCGTAACTGACCCATTGGACCTCATTGACATCATAAAATATGAAAGTCTAGGACTGCTAATGTAAACTGATCATCTTTCCATAAAATAGTGCTCTTTTACACTAGAAGACTATTATCTTCAATACAGGGCTTCCATTCCCTGAGCAAACTTTTTAGGAGTGAAAAAAGTAGATGTGTGATGAAATTTTCATGGGCTGAAGTACTTTTACGATCTGGAATGCATGCTTAATTCAATAATAATTCCACAAGATGAGAGTCATGCATTTTTTCCAGTTAATTTGAAGATTATCTCTTCAAGGTGCAGTAAATATTATCTTTTTTCCCTTTTTCCGTGGAGCATAGATTGGTCCCTTGCATTAAATTGCTGGCCATGAAAGCATTTCAAAAATTGGATAAGAAAACCTCAACCAATTGAGACCACCAACCCAAACAAAGCAATCAGCAGAAGCATGTGAACCAAAACCAAACAAGGTAAACTCTTCTTGAGCCACAAGAGAAGCGTTGAAAATATAGGGGGTAAAACCAGGCATTTTTTAAAAATACACTGACATTTTTTTTGTTAAGGGGTTTCTTGTATTTAAAATCATGCTGGTCAAAATGACAGGTAGTTCCATAATGATAGAGGAGACATCACCTAAAAATACTGTTGAGGTCAATATTTTTAATCATTGGTACGTCGTATAAATGTACCTGATTTACACAATGATATTTCACCTTCATCTTGTCATCTTTATGTTATGTCCCTATATCACGTGTCATCTTTAGGGTAAAATATGAAAAAAATGCAGCTGAGTAGAATAAATGCCCCATAAAAAATTCTATACACGGACTTTAAATGAATTTGAACAAGGCTTTTGTGGCCACAATAGCGAATGTTGACGTCCAACGACATCAAAAGCAAATTATTTAGGTATGAGTAGATTTCGGAAATTTTGATTATGTACAATGCATTTAGCGTGAAATTTTTATGAAAACCTATGTTTTATGGTACTTCAAATCTAGTTGTAAGCAGTCATCACTGGCTTACTTTTGGCCAGTTAACGTCACTTAAAGTGGCGTTCAAAAATGTGAACACTGACCATTCATCAAAGAGAAAAAACCCATCACTTACCAAAAATTCGCCCCTCATTATGAATTTCGAGTTTCCATGTCCCAATGGGGCTTTCACCCCACATGTGAACTGTCATGAAAGGCCACTGGTGGAAACCTAAACGAGAACTATCATGCGGCCTTTGAGCAAGTAAAACAGAGGTTGTGCCATGAGGAGATGTCAAAGATATCCTTAAATCACCTCGTCTTTGAGCATTTAATGTGATCTTCGCCTAAAAGTACAACAAAAGAATGGATTCAATTTAAAATTTAGCGCAAGAAAAAAATTAAAATTACATTTTATGACTCTTGGAACTACAAGATTTCCGAATCAGAGTTGTTTCTTTGTTATTTTATTTTACCAGACAGGGTTTTAACACCACAAAACATTTTTCACAACCACTCAGAAATATTCAATCACCAGTGGAAAAATTCTGGAGTGTCAAAACTTCTTTCCTCTTTCAGTGAGAGATGGATCCGCACCTCAAAATGTTTGGAGGAAATTTTGTCACCAGAATGAAAGAGCGTTAAATGCGTCATTGATTTCACCAAGGAGCAATTTAGATAATTGCACCATGACATGATAAAAATGACTCTAACATTAACATTTAGACACTATTTTGAAGCAATATGTTCATCAGAGTTGAAAAATGGTGTTAAAACAAAACCCAGCAATCCACACAACAATGAAAGGCCCTTCAAAGCTCCGTGAGTTTCTGAGCAACTAAAAATCACTTACAGCAACCAGCGAGTCACCGAGCAGTACTTCAATAACAACAGTCTGTTAGGACTACTGGGCAACATGATGGACATTTTACTGAGATTAACAACATATCTTTTGTTACTGTAGCTTGAGAGTCAATAATAACACGAGTGATTCGAGATAGTATTGTCAGCCAAAGAATGCAGTAAATGATATTTTTGAAATTCACAATTTCACCAGGCCTTGATGCAATGTAGAGTGGAGTAGTAAACATGTTGGCATTTAAGAATTTTATTGCATGCCTCATTGCTCTTTCAAACTGAAAAATTTGCCGAAAAAAAGGATGTACACTGTTGCACCCGTTGCAAGTTTTTACAACAGGACAAGATTTTGCAAGCATCATTTTTTAGGCATGTTAAAGAACAACCACAAGGGGAGTACTCACTTGAACATGTTCCAAATAGTTGACACCAGGACACTTTTTCACAGTATGCTGTAATGCAATATAACTTTTGGCAGGAATTGTCCTGCAAAAAAAGGAAAAAGAATATTAGGTAAGTGGCAAAAAATATCATCTCTTCAAAAAAAAAAAAAAAAAAAAAAAAAAAAAAAATTGATCTTATGAAGATAGATGGATTAAAGTTTTTGAGTACATACAAATATATACAAAACTGCACAATCATGAAAACAGTAATAGGATGATGTGTCCAAAATTTAATGTTTGAAAACGAAAATGGCCAAAATAACTGTACATCCCCCTGCAAAAAGGAGCGAATTTTTTCAAAAGTCCAGTGACCAATAATGTCGAATTATAGAAAGGCTATAGGCTCATATGACGTTTTTCCTTTGCACGGTAGTATTACTATTTGGTTCACCAAAAAAATTGAAACAGAGAAAAATGGAGACGTAAAAAATACAAACCTAACAGTAAGAGGCATGGAGACATCACAGCGGTGCTGTTCAGGTACTGTTTGCCACTTGCGGGCCAATTCGACCATGGCTCCTGCATCCATGAGACCATATCCAAAGGAATGACTCACTGCACAAAAGAGTATATATTAAGAATTAAAAACTACAAAGCTGCAATTTCTTCCTTGTTTTAGAGGTCCAATACAATTTAGAGGAAATTTCAAAGTAAAACTTCGAAAGTAATTTTCAGAGTAAATCTAAGTTAAAATTTTCAGTAAATTTCAAACTGCGGGACTTGGTTTAAAATGAATTTTGTCGGTTCCTATTTTCTGTTTATATAAATACCTTCCGAATGCTCATTAAATAAAGTGCTTTTGTAAAAGGGATAAAGTATTGATAGGAGACAAAATCACCTCTCTCTTTTGTAATCTTTTTAAACTGAAATGCAGACATAAGTTCTGACATATTTTGAGTTTTTCCCTCTCACGATCAAGTTTAAAATAAATATCCTGTTGTGACTGTAATGTGATGGATAGGAATTCTCAGTACTGCCAATTCAAGTGTTGAAATATGATGTGTCACAGGGGTCAAGAAAGTTCTTTGCTTTTACAAAAATACCCTTTTAAAAAAGGGCTTAGTGTGCCAAGGATCTGCTTTCACAGAAAAGTAACACGCTTGATATTTTTCTTCACAAGAAAGTAGTGCACTCAGCTAATATCTTCATTCAAACCAACTTGCTGGTTGGTCTCTTACACTATAAATAACGCCACTTCCTGCTGGCGGAGAACTGAGAAAATCATTAAGAAAATAAATTAAAAAAGAAAAACCCCTGACTGCGTTTACAAAAGAAATTCTACTTGTCCATTGGTTTTACAATAAAGCGCAGGACTGATGCGAGATTGCGGTCCAGCATTTTCTGATGGGTCTGGAATGTGGTTGTACTTTGGCAATATATTGTATGAAAATTCATAAAATAAAAAGAGGACTTTTTCTTTCTTTTTTTTAAATGATATGAAAAAATGATTCAAGTAGTAAACCAAAACCAAAGCAGCAATACATGAGCACACACAAACTCAAACGCAAAAAAGGAAAGAGAACAGAGCGCATCTATTAAATCACTGTCTGACAGAGTAATGAGGACATCTCAAGGGTCTAGCAGTAAAGCAGTCAGGTGGCAGAACTCTTAATTACATGCAATGTGTGCGCAAGAAAATATGACGATAATTACCATTTCTTCCGACTCCATTCACAGCCCAGTCTGCAGTTTTGAGGTTGGCAGGCCGTGCTGTCTGCACCACAATATGCTGCATATCCCTCCATGTGAGTTTCATGTTGGCTTCAAGAGCTAGGGCGCAAATACCGGCTGCTAAGGGTGCCGAGGCACTTGTTCCTGTGTGATTACTTGTGCATGTACCACGAAGATCAGTTGTAACGATCTGAGAAAGCAGACAAATTTCAGAAGTAAGAGAAGCGGTAGAAGTCATTAGTTTGAAGAGAGCTACAAGACAGAGATGTATAATGGACAATTTTAGTGTTACATCACAATTCAAGATATATCGCGATTTTAGGCCTGGTGTCCTAACTAAGAACATAATCTCACTTTCGGGACTTGCTTCAATACATTGCGTATAACTAATTTATCCGATGTAATATTGGAGAATCACCAGATAGAAACGTACATTTGAGGATATACAGAACTCGTATTTGCAAGAAAATCCGGTAGAAACTGTCTGAAACTACCCAGAATCAGCTTTTGAAAATTGACTTTCAGATCCTTATGGGGAATCCCACGTAAATCAAACCGACCGGATCCCGGTTAGGGCGCCACGCCTAAAATTGCGATATATCTTGAAATGTGATGTTACCACTAAAACGGTCTATGTTATTACACTTGTCAACTATTCACATTTACAGTCTTCTAGGGAGACAATTTTCAGACGCATTCTTGCATAAATTAGGGAGTGGCAATTTAAAACAAATCATTTAGAGACATTGATTGATTGGCATGCAAAATTAGGGAAATCAAGTCAATTTTTCAGTCTTGATTTCAAAACAGGATTGACTTGAGAGGCAAACAATCAAAATCAAACAAGTTTCATCAAGTTTTGGTTCAAATGAGAGAGCCAACTGCAAAGTTGTATTGAGGCAATTTGTCATACGAGTAAGAAAAACCGATTTTCACTTCGATGGGTCAGTTGTGCAGGTCACAGAATCGTCTTTTGATGCTTGATTCTTGTGAATCAGCGAAAAATAATAAAATTTATCCAAACACCAACTTCCTGCAGTTAATATTGACTGAAATACCGGGCTTTGAAAAATTAGGTTTAGATTGTCATTCATTGCGGTAGTTACTTCCTTGGTTTGTTCTGCCTTGCTTTTATCAATCAGTGAGACACACATTTGCACTGGTTACTCAACGTAAAACTCAGTTGAAAGCAAGGTTGAAAAGACCAAAGGTGTCACTATCGCAGTGGATGATGTCATAAATCGAATTTTTCAAAGCGCGATATCTTGAACGTACAAAATTGCTGTTAGAACAGATCTTCTTATTTATAGGTAATTTCCACAAGTCAAGCACCAACACACGATTCTGTGACCAGCGCAACTGACCCATTGTGGTATTAAAATCACACTTTTCAAAAATCAAATCGGTTTCAATAAATCACTTTTTTCTAAAGAATTTTCTTCGAGAGGAACACTTGAAGACTTCACTGCCTACCGGCATGGCAAGATACATGCCTGTCTACAAATAGGTTTACTGTCAGAAATCAAGAGCCGATCAAAGCATACCTGACTTTCATGAGATGCTCCACTACTATAAGTGGTTGCTAGAGTTGAGCTACAGGCCTCTGAGTACCAAGGAACTAAACCGTTTTCAGTTGCGCTACCGATGGATAACGTCCAAATTGAGTTGGTGTAACCATCACAATTACAGTTATCATGGTCTCGCCCACCATTCCCAGAGGCCCAAATGAAGATTGAACCTTTCCCTTTTCGCCCCTGAAAGAGAAATGTATGTTGTATTACTATCAGGTAAAATACTCATTACTTGAGAGGGGCAGAAATGGTTATCAGAGGTGTTAATAAAAAGACGGGAGACGAGGCTGAAAACTCAAGTATCATCAATGACGGACCAAGTGCAAAAATTAAAAAATTGAATTAAACAAGGCATTTCGTTTTGGACACCAAGGACATCATGCTGCATAATGGGCTAAAAGCCACTGAGAATAGGGTAGAGGGAACAACGTACAAGAGACAGTGTGGGTGGTACGTTTTGCAGCAGTTGTCAGAAATAAAGATGTGAACAATTCGAAATCAACTTTTTGGCACTTAGCTCATAATATTGATGATAAGTCTTCTCAAATTTATATGTAGATGTGAAGTGAGTTAAGAAAATTCACAAAGAACCTCTGCAAAAATTGGTGGCAAATTTACTTTTCAAGAAAATAAAATATAAACAAAGACATATCGACAGTGTAAGTTGGCAATCACATAACTCGTTTGCGGTGTCTGAAAATCTCCGCCTCTATGTTATTTTTTTAAGGAGAACAAATTGACATCATTCCTTGAGTTTTTGCAGAATTTTTTTCACACAGAGAAGAAAAATCACCGCAGTTTTCAAGAATTGCCGTTGAGTAGTTTTCCGTTTAAAAAATAAAGTATAACAGGAAGTCTGCAACGTTGCAAACCAAGTTATGTGATTGCCGACTTACACCGTCGATATGACACATAATCAGAGTTATTTTCTGAATTAACCATATAGATACAATAAAATATTTTGTAAATTCTATAAAGATTTTGAATTTTTTCGGGGAGCTTGTGACTTTCTAGACTCGTAGCCAAGGACTACTGCCTTTCTTTAACATGAGGCTTAAAGTCCACTCAGACTTTCCACCTGATTGAGGCGAAATCTTGAGCGGCAATTTGCCAATTGGACCCAAGGACAAGTCACCTTAAAATTTCTCTAGAGGCGCATCATAATCGACTCCAACATGCACTTCGGTTTAGCCAGTCTGGAGTGAGATAAATTTACAATGAAGATTTTTGCACGATTTGAAATTTTAAAGAGTAAACATGGGAGAAAATACCTTGGTAACACCCTGCATGAATGCTCGAGTTGCAAGATCACCAGGTCCATCAACCGTCTTACCATCATCATCAGGACCCCACGAGGCACTATAAATGTCAATATGTTGAGGATTCAAACTTAAGGACCTAGCCTCGACTGCGTCTGTTACATCTCCGTCTAACATTCGGACACCTGGAATTTAAAAAACAAAAGGATTAGAGGGCCTCCACTTGAAAGCTGTTCTGGAGGTTGGGTCCAGTGTACTGTTTTCCCTGGGCCCCATGCGCCGGATGCGCCTAAAAAAGTTGACACACCCTGTCGGTTTTTCAAACTCATATAGTTGCGAAACAGAGCTGGCTAATGATCTGTACGCAAAAAGTTGATTTGGCTCCTCAAAAATTGTAGATGACATCTAAAAATTTGGCTTTCAGGCAAAGGTGGCTACGAAAATAATAGGGGGAGGGCAGAGCACGGGTTGGGTCAGATATTACAGTACTCTGGGGTAACTGCTGGGGTATGCAAGATTAAGTTGACGATTCAGACACTCATTTAGAGGTGATGCATTTGAGAAACCAATGTTTCCAACCCAAAAAAAAAACAAAAAAAACAGTATATTCTCTGCTTGAGATCCGTTGAGCTCACTTGAATTTTACTGTCCTATAAAAACTCATGAAAATAAGACAAAAGACAGTCGGTTCTGAGCTAAGATTGTGTTTTGGTATCAATTGGTACTAGGGATCAAAATGGAAACTTTTCTTGCGGAAAAGTGCCCCTTCAAATTCTCTAATTCTAAAATTTTTGAATTCCCTGACTTTCTCTGACATTTGAATAAAACTTTCACCTTGATTTTTTTTCCTTGTAGGTTACACTCGCTTCTGCCAAACACACCTCACAAAAGTCTCTGACTTTTCCAGTTTTCCATACCGCCGGCTACCCTGATCTTCGCAAATAAAGTCTGCGCCACAAAAAATGGCAGGTGAGGGGCAGACTCCAGTGAGTAGCTAGGGCTTTTGTTTGGGACTTCATTGGCTTGATTGAGCCCAAATCGTTCAAATGAGCCAATGCACCTGCATTTTAACCCTTAGACAATGCCCCATGTCAGTCAACGACTCCCTTTTTCACTCGCCACTTTTCACACGATAATAAAATAGAAATAAAGTAAAATATTTTAAAAGAAGGTGGAAAAAGTAATCAGTAGGATAAAAAATCTCACCTCCAACGCTTGCTCCAAATGCGATACCAACTGAGCAAAGGGAATTATTTGCAGTGGCAGCAACTTCACCTGCACATCTGGTTCCATGTCTATTCGAGTCGACTTGATCATACCTTGGTGCTGGGTCATCATCATGACTATTCACATCATAACTAGCTTGAGGATCCTATGGTCAGAAGTTTGAACGTGTAAATATACACACATAACATCAGAGGAGGAAAATGAGAAGTCAGATATTTATATGCATGTGATGAAAATTGAAGATTTACAAGCATTGGCGGCGCGTGCTTTGCGATAAATTGTTTGATCTTATACTTAAACTTATGGGAAAGGATCGATAAACAGAGTGTTTACAACGAACGTGTTAATAATTCATTTTTTACCATAGCTTCAAATGGGGAAATATCGCTAATCAATCATTCACGCCTCGCCAATGATTCAGGGGAAACAGGAATAAAACTAAGAGAAACATGAACTATCAGGCAGTTCTGAAATCTTCTCTTGTATCAATCAACTACTGCGAGAAAAAAAACATTAAATTTGAGACTAAAAATCCTTAATTAAACCATGATAACATGGTGATAATGATCACATGAAACATGTTCCATTCAAATTTTTGTGTTGCTGTTCTAGCCGCTGTTGTGTTCTAGTTTTTGCCGATTATTCAAGTTATTCATCACTAAACATCTAAACAAGATCCCATCTAATTGGTACAAAGCATTGTGTATAAAATGTTTCAGTAGAAAAAAGGACATGAACAAGCAGAACTGAGGTAAAGGAACTGCTGCGTATGGAAGATTCATCTATGAGTTGAAAAAACCCAGATATGTACATAGAAAGTTCCGTTTTAGAGCTTATTATACTCTGAGTGTCTTCAAAAACGTAACATCCAAAAATTTTGAACCTTAACATTCATCAGACTGCAGTGAAATATGTGTGGTCTCTTACATAAAGGGTGTTGCAGAGGTTCCTTACTGCTAGGAACAACTACATCAAGTGCAAAACCACTTATTTCCATTTGCTATGTTGCAGACTCTCTGACATACTTTAATTATTTGCTTTGGAAAACTAGACAACATAATTTCTTGATAACTTCCTTGATTTTTCCTATCTGTTAGCAGAATATTTTGTGCAGATTTTAAGTTATAAAGTTTATTTTATTTTATTGTAAAAAAATGAAATAGGAGTCAAAACTTTGGAACGTCACAATGGAAATTCGTGGTTTTGCACTTTGGTTATCGATATGATAGTAAACGCTGATAAGAAGTTTGATGCAGCAGTATATAAAACCCTTCTGGCCGTTGATTCAGCGCAGAGGCAAATCAAGAAAAATAGGAATGCTGTTTTTGCACAATCTAATTGCAGTCTTACTTAATCAATGCCTAATCCAGCCCACATTGGCTGGCGGAACAAGCTCAGATCATCGATCTCCCACTTTGAAGATGTAAATTTGATCGTATGAAAACAGCTGAAGACAGATTAACATAAATGACTCAGTGCATCGATCAGACTGATTAAATAATTACTTACGTAGTTTTGTATTAAATCAGGATGATCCTTTTCAAGACCATCATCTAAAATGGTAACAACAACACCTTTGCCGGTGATTCCCTCTTGCCATGCTTTCATTACGTTCATGTCAAGACCATTGCCTCGATTCTGAAAAACAACGATTTGGTTTATACAAGAAAACCAATACTCAACTAAAAATTAGACTGGTGCGTTACTGATTCAGAAGCAAAAATTTGAGAGATGAGACCTTTTGGAAATCTACACTCAAAAGTTTTATAAAATTGGATATTCAAAATGAGGATGCAACAGAAGAGGTAGATCAAACAATAATTTGAAACCTACAATTGTAAAAACTTGAAAGCCAAAGCAATTTTAGGAGGCCATTACAAACTGAGCACAAGTTTTTCCCACGTATTTTCTGTCTTTTGATGACTCAATTCTATCAGTCCATAGATAAACAGCACAACCTGCATTACCCCCTTTTTTTTAGAGTTAATTTATTTAATGAAGCTCATCACTTTCGCAAATGTTTGTAATTTTATCGACCAACTACTATTAATAAGGTTTCTTTATGGTCTTTAAGGTTTAATATTTAAATCAAATTAAATTTTTTGCTATCAGATGGTGCACCCACCATTAAGTTGATTTTCACAATTGTTTTCAGCAAAAATAATCACAACATCTGATGACAACTAAAATCACTGATCTACAGTTCTGTGTAAAATACAGGAATTAATGTCCGCTCAACATCACAATAAACAAGAGTCTGCTAGCTAAATAAAATAAAAAGAGGTTCTAATGATCTCTGATTTTTCAGCACTGGTAAAAATTTTGAGCTGACATGTTTGCTGCCACAATGTAATGTTATCTTTCTAAAAAATTAAGTATACTTGAAAATTTTAAGACGTTGAGACAGAGATGCACAGGATCATATTTTCCAGAATTGGGGCTCATTAACGATAGGGTAAGTGGTTTTAATATATCACGGAAAACTTCGGATCTCTGGGAAGTCATTCATTCATTCATTCATCGATTCTTTGTGTATTACTTCCTGGCTACAATGTTACAAATTTTTAGTTCCAACTTCGAGATACATATGACTTCACCATATGTAAAGGGATATCAAAGGTGAAATTAGAATTTGTACCTCAATATGCGATGTAGCAAAATTCCTATCACTTTTTATTTTGATGCTTGGAGACACTGTTTTTGATTCATCAAGTTTATCATAATTTATATAATTCTTTCGAGATGTTGATCAAAAATATTTGTTGAACTTTCTTAGGAAAAAATAAAACAACTGCAGACATTTTAAAACACCACAGTTGAGATTAAGCTTTTTCTTGCTCCAACATAATGGACCACTAGACAAGGTGCTAATTTCAGCATTTTGATACGTGTTTCATTACCAGAATTTCACAGAAAATACAATTCTTGTATCAAAATATTACTGAAATCAACTCCTAACTAAGATATTAACGTTTTTTGAATTGCCAGGTCACAAGAAACGCTATTTCCTACTTGAGTCACATCGCGCCTCACAACAGTTTTAGCAGGCTTCTGAATCGAGCATTGTTCCTTTCCCACCCTTTATAGCTCAAAGTTTAAACAATTTCCTATAACTGAGACAAAGCGTCAAGATTGAGGTTGCCAGATTTTCATATCGCAGAGATTGTCATGGTAAAGTTTAGTGTGCGATTTGACTCACGTGGACTATGGTGTATTCATGAGCGGGAAGTTTGAATTCATGCATCAAGAAACGCTAAATACCTTGGTTAGGAGTTAATTTCAGTAATTTTTGTTGTGCGAATCGTTTCCTACGTGAAATTTCGGATAGTAAACATGTATCGGAATGGTTAACTTCAACCTTGTCTAGTGGTCCATTGTATGCTAGAGGTTACACTGAGATTAAAGACATTCATTTCTTTGTATCTTTTATCACTTACTTAACATCATATGCCTGCTGACAGAAAATATAAACTTACAAGAGCTCTGAGCTAAATCAAAACAGTACTTAAAAAACAGATACTTACCAGATACCACATTTGAGGCCATTTTGGATCATTTAAATAATAATTTCTACTTTTTCTTCCTACTGAAATTCCAGAAATTGATCTAGTTTTGAGATAATCTCGCTTCATCCTATGTTTTGCTATTTGTTGCTGCGCCCACGTTACCTGAGGAAAAATTAATGCAATTTTCTTAAATGAGACAAATGAGAAGAAAATTGAGTTATTAATCAGATAATATTATAAAATTTTCTTCATATATTTTGAAGAGAATCAACAGTAGTATTTAGCTGTAAAGCAAATTAAAATTGTCACTATGTGACATATCAAATATTGTATCGTACATATGCCTACGTACAACCATACCGGTAAACTAAAATTGAAGCCCCTTCATTTTTTCAAACATGCAACACAGACATCTCTTAAGCAGAAATAGTTGCATCCATGCTAGGCTTTGTCACCAACTCTCCGCCACATCATAAGTCAAGACTAGCCGACAATGAGTTTATTAAGGAGGAAAAATTATATTTGCCGGACTAGCAACCTTCCCCCCTCCCACAATACTGAAAGACGGGAGGAAACGCTGCTTGGGGGAATTTCACTGTCATTTAAGGGAGAAATATTCAGGTTAGGTTGACGTTCTTTCACAAAAAATAAATAATTTTTATGCTTCAAGGAAAATGTTGTGAGACAAAATCAAAATACGACTAAGCTCAGTTTTTTTTTTCATTCAGTTTTATTTTCTGAGAAAATTCGGGAAAAGACGAATTAATTTAACAACGATAAATTTTAATGGCAAGGGGCGTCTTTCCCTCGCTTAAATCTTGCGGATTTTTTGGATTATCGACGCTTGCTTAATTCCCCACGCCCACCCCTCTTAAAAGGCCCGTAAAAATGAGGTTTTATCTCCTCACTTTTTCTAAGGAGTACTTCGGTGCCTTATCCAGACCTATAATGCCTGGACAGATGAATGAAGGCAAGAAGATACAGGTAAATATGTGACTTTTGGCTACTGGTAAATATTGATTTTACAGCAGAGGGAAAAACGTGAATATACGATCTATTGACTAAAATCCAATGCAAAAAATACGAGAGGAAGAAGAATTGAGGGGCTTAGAGGACAAGAAGCATAAGTGCAGTTTTTGAAAAAATTGAGATACCTATTCAAATTTCTTCCAAATTTTTCTTGTGCAGTTTTGTTGCTGGGCAAAATGTTTCTACGGATCTGGGTGTTTCCTTGGAAATTTTAAAACCACCTAGTGCGATACACACACACAAAAAAACCTGCCTTACTGGCACGCTTGAAAAGAAGAAAAAAAAAAGGAAAAAAAATGAACTCAACTAAAATTAGTTTTAAAGTATATTCTATGGAAAATTCACAGATAAAATCCAACTTTAAAGCATAAGAAAGCAAGTTCAAACTTCCTTTCTACCGTGAGGCTCCATGTAATTTTAAAACTTAAAACATGACGTGTTTCTTGAAATAGCAAAAAATACACTTATGCGCCTTATTCGCCAAGCCCCTCAATTACGATTGAGAACTCACCCCAGCTTCAGAAGTTAATTTTTTATGATGCTCATGACTAGGTCTAGTTGATCTTTTGGCTATTCTTGAGTGTTTTAAATGATAAACATCGTCGAATATCTGAAACAAATGAAAATGAGTGATTAAAAGAGAGAATAAAAAAGGGAGACAAACGTTTTGACAATATCTTTGGGTAGTAATGCAGCATACGGGTGGTTTGGATTAGCTCATCCCCCCCCCCCATCCCCCACCCGCTCTCCAAGCAACCGAGAAGATACGCACAAATACATATACAAATGCAGTTTTGATTCGCTGAGGCATCCATAGTGAACTGGACGTGGTTTTATAAAATCGTATTTGTCCACGCAGACTGTCAAATGCCTGATTCAATCCAATAAGAATAGTTTCAAGCTAGACGTTCATCACAGGCTGCAGGGCCGAATTAAGGGGGTGGCCAAGTGGGCCACGGCAAATTCAGGGGGCGGTAAATTTTGCAATTTTTTTAAATATAGGTATGAAAAAAAATCGGATTCAGAAAAAAAATTACAAACGAGAAAAGCGTCTTTCGGCGACACAAGAGACAGCACCTTCAATTAGTCGAGTTAAGAGAGAAACCAAAAACGCAATTTGGCATGGAGCGACGCGGCGCAGAGAGCAATGATGATGAGGACTTGAGATGAAAAGGAGAAGCCCTCAGCGCGGCGGTTAGCATGAAACACATATTAGCACCAGCAACTCCTGCAAGACTTCATGAATACTTCACGCATTGCGTCAAACGCAGTATGCGTTCAGCGGCGCACAGCGGATCGAGTCAATAGGAAAGGTCGGACAAAATTTGGAAACTTACAACGTTGATAACTCCGTTTATACGAAACTTCAAGGTTCTAAAAGTGGTTCCATTGGTTTCCTCGTGAAATTTCCTTATATGAGCACCCCTTGAAATTTGAAATGTGACGAAATAAACATCAAAATTTGCAGTTTTACTCAATTAATTAATGTCCGACCTCTATAATTGACTCGATTCACTGTGCGGCGGTGGTCGGCGTGAAGTGTATAGCGCCTACAAGACTAAAGGAATACTTCACGCATTGCGCCAAACACAGTGCGGTCTGTGCGGCGCGGCGACGGAGGTTAAAATTATTAAACCACATTTATGTTTGTTCTTGCATAATTTTTACATTCATTTCTTGCAAATGGAAGGCCTTGTTCATACAGAGATAGGTTTACGGAACTTAACTTTCGCGCAAAGTTCCGTGAACTTTTGCTAGTAGTGTTGACAGGGCTTTCGCAAAAAATGTGTGTAACACGAGTAAACGCATCTTATGCACCCCTCCCCAGGCACGTTCACTTGATGGTTTTTATTGATGTTTCAAAACGAATGAGAAGGGGGCGGCAAAATAGGTTATAGGACATTTCGTCAACGATTTTTTGTCCGAGCACTTGTTTTTTTCCAGTAGTTTAAGTCCACGCGTTTTTTCGGCAGGGGAGTTTTGGTCCACTTACCAATTATTGAGACCCAAAGTTAATTGGTCAACATGTAAATACAAACAACATTTGCTCACGACGTTTTTGGATGAAATGTATAATGTCTTGGAAGAATGAGGGTTTGCTCGTTTTTTGTTTGTTTGGTGGGCAAAACGGAAACAAATATATAATTGAGCATTTTGGCGTCAATTCTATAAGGAAAAATTCACTAAAACTCTCTGGTGCAACAGAACTTAATTATCTTTCAAGAAAATCCCATCTTCTTATACCCGAACCGGATGAACCTCTTGATTTTCCTCAGCTAAAGGCTCTTAGATTTTTCCTGTGTACGATAACTTCACGACGCGACGGCGCGGCGTCGGCGTGCCGCGGCGCTTCAAACTACTATTTCGCCATGAAGGTGTTGCACAGTATCATACAAGATTGAAGGCACCCCAACGTATCATGATTGATGGTATCTTTCAAAAGCACGAAGTTCCCTCGCAAATTAAATCGAGTGACGACGAAAAAAAGAGAGCTCTGTTGTCGAAAAACTTGCTAAGTCCTAGTATCTGGATCCAGTAACGTATAGCATTATTTTTGAACTTAATTAGAGGAAAAAGTGACTTGATTCAAGCAGAAATATGCTCAAATTTACCACCAAGAAGATTTTCTAATGAATCAATAAAGAAAATAATGCCTGTTTAGAGAAAAAAGGACACTTAAATAAAAAGAAAAGTCACTTAGATCAAGCAGAAACCAGCTTTCATTCAGTTATTTCATTCTTGATTCAATATAAAATCTTCTTGACGGCAAACTCAGGAATGTTTCTGCCTGAATCGAGTCACATTTTTCTCTAATGAAATTCAAAAATTATTAAACGTTATTAAATACAGATGCTAGAACTGAGTGAGTTTTTTAGATTCCCGCTTTCTTCATTTAACGTAGTATCTTGATTTATTTTGCAAGGAAAGCTCTGTACCCTTAAAGGAAGCTTGTCATTCTTAATACGCTGGAGAGCCTTTAATCTCGTATGATACTGTGCAACACCTATGTCGCGAAATAGTTGCTTGAAACGCCGTAGCACTCCGCGGCGCGGCGGGCGACCAGCGTGACACGCGCATAACCGCCTACAAACCTAACAGGGACTCTTCACGCATTGCGCAACGCGTGAAGTATCCCGTTAGGTTTGTAGGCGCCAGTGCGCATTCCGCTCTGTGGTAGGCTCTAGTACATATTTAAACTCGTAAAGTCAGCGTTTTTCAACTCTGATTTTGAAATGTTTGCACGCTCGGCACGGATTACTCTCATTTAAATTTATGGGGGGAAAGTATGTATTAAAGGAAAATATAACGTGTGTTTGGAAAATATTAAGGTGGCTCTGTGTCTAATTTAATGATTTCCAAAGCTTTCTAATTTTTTTTTTCATATTTTGTGCATTTGCTGTGCTGCAGCGTGGTGTATTCGCAACCAAACGCACGGCAGATTTGTGGATTATAGCTCCTGGCGATACACTGGAAAAAATAAATAAGTAATGAATAATTGAATGAACCAAAGCTATGTGAGTTTGTAACTAATTTGATCGCTAGGGACTTCTGGACTTTATGGTTATCATCAGAGCATAATTACATGCGTCACATTGTATGACGACTTTTTTCAAGACTAAATACACTGATACATGTTGTTTTCATAGTGTGACATATGTAATTATGCTCCGATGATAACAATCAAGTCTAAAAGCCTTTAGCGATAAAATAAGTTACAAACTAGCATCGCTTTGCGTCATTCAATTGCTCATTACAATTTTGGCGACGTTCGATATCAATTGGAGAACATTTTTCAATTCGGAGCTACAATTTCTGGTTCACATCTGTAAAAACACTTATAAGCACACGGAAAATAACGGTACATACGTTGTTTGTAAACTGTGAAAAAAATTGTAGTTCTAAATTGCAAGATGTAGTCCAATTCACCGAATACGTGACGTCATAAAAACCAAATGCAAAGCCTGCACAATTTAGTCCAATTCACTAAACACGTAACGTCAAAAACCAAATGCAAAGCTACAAAGCCGTGCAAAACTGAAATTTTCAGGTGAAAGTCGCACTAAGCTAAAAGAAGCGTGACGTTTCTTTTTTATAAGAAGAGCAGAAATCGACGGTGAAACTACCAAACCACGTATCTCGGTTTGCGACGTCGCAGACTTCCTGTCATACTTTATTTTTTAAATGAAAAACTACTTAACATCCGATCTTGAAAATTTCTGTGATTTTTCCTCTTTGTGCGGAGAAAATTCCGTGAAAATTTCAAGGAATGATATTGATTTGGTCTACTTAAAAAAAATAAAATGTGAGCGTAGATTTTTAAACACCGCAAACGAGATACGTGGTTTGGTAGTTTCACCGTCGAAATTCAAAGTCTGGCAAGTGCCATCAGGTGCTGCTAAAGTTGTGCATCTACATTCAGCGTTGTCCTCATTGTCCTCAGCGCAAAAGAGCCTACATCTCACGAAGGGAGGCATTTAGGCTCTTTTACGCTGAGGGAGAAGATGAAAAATTTGAGCAACACCAGATGGCATATGTCAGATTTCGCATGTCCAGTCCACTCTTCATGTATCAATAGCTAAATGTGAAAAAAGCGTGTCTCGAGCGTAACTTAAATATCCGTAGCTCGCTCCATTTCGCAGCTGGGGTCATGAAAATTTGTTTGCATACACTTGAGACTATGTTCAATTAAAATTGTCGTTCTCCGAGAAAGGACATGAGACGGGCCCACGCCCTTTTCTATTTATTTTCTTATACGGACGTGTAATCAGAGGGAACTGTCTCCTTGACACGAGCCTTGAGATTCATAAAAATACATGCATGACAGGGCCTACGCTACAATGCAGATAGTTTCTTTCGATTTAAACACGTCCATATACCGATCGAGTCAGTGTCTGCTTTGACGCCACTGTTAGCGGTCTGAGGCTCTGTTCTTGCCTTTTATTCCTCTGATTCTTCTTTACCCTCATATTTCCTTGGTAGTTTACTCTCAAAACAAGCGTTTCTTAGCCGACCAATTTGTACGACTTAAAAGTGATTATGAGGGCATTTTCTTGTTGAATGCGTCGCAGCGAAAGAAACAATGGACCACTAGACAAGGTACGAATTTTAGCATCTGATACATGGTTCTCAACCAAAATTTCACGTAAAACACGACGCGCACAACGAAAATTACCGAAATTAACTCCTTACGAAGATATTTAATGATTCTTGATGCGTAAATTCAAACCACCCGCTCATGAAAACTCAATGCTCTACGTAATTCGCATCGCGTGCTAAACGTTATCATGACAGTATCTGCAATTTAAAAATCTGGCAACCTGCTCAATTTTGACGCTTTGGCTCAGCTATAGCAAATTGCTTCTATTTTGAACAACACATGGTGGGAAATGAACATTGCTCGTTTGAGAAACTTGCTGAAACCGTTGTAGTGCGCGATTTGACTCACGTAGAGCTTTGAGTTTCTTGTGAGCGGGCAGTTCAAATTCCTCGTAACCAATGTGAAATAAAAACGTTAATATCTTCGTTAGGAGTTGATTTCATTAGTTTTCGTTGTGCGAATCGTCTTCTCGTGAAATTCTGGTTAAGAAACATGTGTCAGATTGCTTAAAT